ATATATTCAGTATAGTGAAAGAGAGACTGAAGTTGTAGCTGGAAATTTTGTACTTGGAGATTGTAAGTTTTCAGTAACGAGACCCAGGGTGAATGGTGCTATGCAAGCGCAAATTGGTCACGGCTGGTCTGTTCGATTCCAGTTTGCTCCCCCTTATAGTTCGCTTCCTATGTATATATATATATATATGCACAAGTCTACTGAACTATTAGTAACATTTGGCCTAAACCCATGTTCCCGAGCAGGTGGATAATCGTCCTGTCGAAACTGCACTTTGCGCCCTGTTCCACAATGTCACCCTCTTTAACCACTTTTAATTACGTTCAAAATCTAATTACGAACATAACATCAAACAAGAAAATTAATTTGCACCACAATTTTCCACTGAGAGCAATATATTTTTTTTGTTGAAAATAATTATTATTACTCTAGATTAATCAATATAAAAGTGTAGCAATAACAGTTCACTGGATTTTTATTTATTTATTTATATATAACATAAAATATTTATTTAACAAAAGTGAAAAATAAATTGAGTGAAAATATGAAAATTCGACTGTTAAGAATTTTTAAATTCGGCTATATATGAAAATTCTGCTGACAGAAAATATATTAAAATTCTCTTTGATGAAAATTTCATAACATAAAAATTGAGTGAAATAAAAATTCTTTTATATACACGAATTTGGTGTTAAATAAAAATTCTTTGCTGTGAAAATACAATTAAATGTCAATTCTACTGTATAAAATTCGATTCAAAAACCCTTTCCTCTATTAAACGAATCATTTTCTGGAATTTAAATTAATATAAATATAAGTAATTACCACAAAGATATAATAATATGTATAAAGAGAATATTAAAAAAAGTATAATCCATGTACATGATAATTAAGTTTAATTGACAACTAAGTAGACTTTAATCTAGTTTAAATATTTATAATTAAAATAGATTCGTGTAATAATACGTATATGATGAGGAAAATATGAAGATGATATAATTAACATAATCAACGAGGTCAGGTGAAAAGTAAATTGTTAAGACAATAGACTGAAACTATGTGCATAAATGCGAGAGAAGCTCGACTAGGAATTTTCACTGTGTTTTAGTATTATAGTTATTATAATCACCCCATTAGGAGCAAGCGCATGCGCGCAAATATATATGTTGAGCCAAGTTGTAATACTCGCCACCCCTATCTACCTTCATATTAAAACCGCAATTACTCCCAGCCGTTTTCGCCTCAAGGGCGGTGGAAAATTAGAATTACTGCTTTCCATCATATTCATCCTTCATATTTTCCACGTCACTTATTTTCATTTCAATACAAAATACACGACATTTATGTAAATAATCATAAATTCCATTATGAAATCTTTATTTTATTTCAAGAATATAATTTTATCACTAAAATTTTATTAATAAATTTAATTAGACTAAAAACAATGGATTCTATATAAAGCAAATAATTTTAATAATTTATTTAATTTTATTTCATATCTATATATTTGAATTAAGAAATGATGAAATTTATCTACAATATTTGTATATCTTTATATATAAAATAGAGAAATTTTGAAACAAATGAATTTCATAATTATAACAACAATGAATATTGCGCGTCTATATATATAAAACAGCACATAGTGAAATATCTGGAAATTACCCAAGCTACGAAAATTGCGAGTGCAAAACTAATGATGGTTAAAGAGTCGAATTGGATCTGGTTGCCAAAATTTGCACGAAATTACCGCTTCGTTTGAATCATAATAACGTGCTGATGGCTTTTGGAGACCATTAGCTTCAAAGCTACTGGTAATTATTTACAGATGCTAAATCATCATGGAAAATTAAACGCATTTAAACTTAAATTGTTTCAGTATTTCCTTTCAGAAAAGTCTTTGCACAATTGATGATTAGAAAATGCTCGCGAATAATGTATTTTCTGTTTATAACGCGCGAGACGCAAAATTCTCTTTCGGTGTGAAAAAAAAATAATTTACTCTTTTTTTCTTAAATAATTGACTGTAATATTTACTTTTACTATATATTAATATATTTAAAAAAAAATCTATAAAGTCTGACTAAAACTGATTTTTTCATTTTGATACTAAATTGCAAGATATTCAATAACATTTTGTCCGGCTGAATCTATTTTTGAACTATTGAAACAAAATTACAATATTTTATAAACTTTTGTACGATTATTACTTATCACAGTTATTAACAACAGGATTACAAGAATTTAATTCGTTTTACTACTTCAAAATCGACCTGCACTACTGAAAAAAAAGTTAGAAAAATTTATCAAGTATGACTGAACGTGAATTATTTAACTACTTAATCTATTTTACTAGATTTTATTATGTTTTTATTGACGTTAATAATTTTTCATTATTACTAAGACTACACAGAAAAAACCTAATCTCAAATTGAGTACAAAATTTATACTCAATTTGATACGCATCAAAAATGAGACAGGCAGATGGCACCACATTCTATGTCATTTAACATGAATTCATTTTGAGATGCAACAAATATGAGTCCAACTTTTTTCTGTGTGAAGTTTCAAGAATTAAAACTATTTATTGTCCGATTGAAATTGTCCTACACTACTATGACAAAATTACCAAAATTTTACAAAGTCTGATTCAATTTTTTACTTCTAAAAATAATTACAAGAATTCAAACCATTTTGTCTGACAGAAACTCATTTTTACTACTGATATTAAAAATCATTAAACTTTGAAATGCTTGCACTGAAAAAAAAATTTGGCCTTGAAAACAAAACGTTTGGTTGGTATTTAAGCAACCAAAATTTTTCTGTTGCGCTAATAAAATTTCAGTTGTCCCAACAAAACTTGAGTTAATACAACAAAGATATAAATTTTCCTAATTTTGGTTGTGTCAAACAATGTTTGATTGAGAAAATAAAAATTTTCTTGAGGCAACAAAAAAATTTTAATTTCTTAAATACCAACCAAACGTTTTGTTGTCAAAACCAAACCCTGTTTTCAGTTTGGGCTGACTATATTCATCTTTTACTACTGACACTATAATTTGCAATAGTTTTGCATGATTGAATCTGTTCTTTATTACTAAAATCAAAGTTACAATAATCCCGCACTAACAGATTTTTATTGCTGACTGAAACAAAATCAGTAGAATTATATGAAGTCTGAATAAACCTGACTTTTACTACTGAAATTACAAGAGTTTGTATAAAAAAATTTCATTTTTTCACTACTGATCATTGGATGATTACTACATGGATGATTATAAAGATTTGGATTATTAAATTTTCTTTTTTCTATTGAGAATTACTCTACATTTTGTAATTGTTGTTAATCTCAATCTGACAATAAATATAATCTTCAATTGAATATTCTGATTGCATTTTATGCTTTATAATTTTAGAAGATTAATTATCAGCTTTTAATTTCTGATCTAGCATCAAATCTCAAATTGTTGAATCATCTAACGATCACGTATAGTGATTTAACTTAATGACTCTTAGAATGATGATCATCAGCTCTTAATCTCTGACCTAACTAAAATTTCTTCTATTAATGATGATTATTATTCATAAATCTAAAATTAAAATCATCCTTCAACAAATATTAGTTTATCATTAAGACAATCATTGCTCCTCGATCAACAATCAGAAAATGGGTATAACAGTTGACAAATTAGATATTGTATCACGTCTTCCATTATAGAAAACACTTTTTATATTTCGACAATAAGAGATGATTAGATTTATTTTTATATCAAAAAAATCTAATCCCTAAATAAATACATTCATGCTATCATTTCTCCTTTTTCACCGATTCTACGCAAATTTTACGTAAAATGCATTCTGTTTTTAAACGTTACGAGCGTCATATTTCAATGATGATTCCTATAGTCAAAAGAATGATATCACAATAATCCACTGTTTTCACATACACACACACACATATAAACAGTGAGTGATCGTTTAATCGTTTCATCAACAATTTGCAGCTTGCGATTGTTGATCAATTTGATGATCAAGAAGGGGCTGATTGGGGAAGTAGAAGAGCAAAAACAAAAAAAAAATTGAAGTTTATACAGCGGAATAGCCGAGATCGATTGAACCAGCAGCTAATTCGCCAACGATCGAGGGGAATCGGTGTCGCGAGCTCATCCGCTCGTACGTTCGATTGGCAGGCGGGGCGGTAGGCCAGCAATTACCTAAATGGTCGGGTAAACAATATCTGTGCGCAGAGTTAAGAGCACAGTAGCTGTGGCAGCAGTAACAGCAGCTCATACTCTCCCTCTCTCTAGCTCTATGCACATAGATGTGAGTGACTAAATACCAATACCAATGCATTATAATGGTTGGCAACACTGCGACGTCGCATTTAATACTTCAACCCACACACATGCACCGATTACTGCTGCGGCGGTTACCAGGAAAACTTTTCCACCATCATCCAACGTCAGACACCATCACCATCAAACCTCCAAGGAACATCTACCTACAGGAAGGAAGCGCCCACTCTCTTCAGCATATAGTGGTAGCGGCGCGGTGGCTAAATCAAAGACAAACCACTTTAGCCAGTCCGATCGCGGGGAAGTTGTGTGTACATACCCGAGTATCTGGCGAAAGCGCGCACCCCCGTCAAGAGAGAACCCCCCCCCACCCTTTTCTTTCTCTACCCCATCGTTTCTGGCTTATGTTATCTGTATATATGTAGACAGCCATTTTCATAATAGTATTTGTGAATGAATGAGTGTCGGTGCATCGTTGTGCGTAAGAGAGAGGGGGAGAGAGAGAGACGCAAAGCGTTCAACGTAATCACGCACAACCATCACACCCGCCACTGATACAGCTTTTGTGTGAGGCAACCCTCCGCTTTTGCCATGATTCTCGTCAACTCCGATTGGCCGACGGTCGAGCTTTCTGGTAACCGTTGAATCATTTGGCCACGCCCTTCTCGAGGCGGAACAACCCCCTTCAGCTTTGGTAGACTCTCTCTCTCACTCACTCTCGTTTCACTGTCTAATAATACCACGATATACCACCTATTCTGCCACCATGACTCTATAGAACCACTATAGACACCCTACGAAGTAGACCACGTCAAGACTCACGCTTTCAAAATCAGAATCAAAAGGAAAAAAAAACACCATTCTCCCCACCTAAGAGGAATCTTTCCGTCCAAGAAATTGTTCGCGATCCCTTAGTGATGTTAAAAGTGTCACAGAACTAATTAAACGTGGATTAAAGTGAGTGACTAAAGAGAAATTAGTGAAAATCAAATGTTGTGGATTAGAGGATTCCAATTGCTGGCTAGTGAAACAATGTGTCGTTGTGTTCGATCATCATGTGCTCCTTGATAATGATGATCATGTGGCATGCTGCCAGGTAAAGAGCATTATCTCCGGGGATGTGGAGAATGCAAGAGGGCAGAACAATGTCTCCTCTCGGACCGATCCTCGGGGAAGAGGCTGGAGTTCCATTGCAGGATAGGCGACACGTGTTACTTCAAGTTAGGACAGCTGATCCTTTCTTTCGTTACGATCATCATTTGCGATCGGAACAAACATCATCGCCACGTCTTGCTGAGGATATCGTCGATAACGACGATACAAGGGCAAAAATGAAACGTGTTGAGAAAATTGAGGTACTCGAGAAGGAAGAGGATGAAAATGAAAATGGAATCATTAGCGAGAGGTTCGAGAGAATTAATGAACAAATCGTGCCAAATAGTAATAATGAACGATTCGGTGATCGTATCAACGAAAGAGTCAGTGATCGAATCACTTCGAAAAGTGAAGAGGACGATGACGATGAAATGGAGGATGATGATGAGGAGATGGAGAAAAGAAATGGTTCGTTTCATGAGGATGAGGATGTTGAGGTTGATGTGTGTCGTGATGGTGATGAGAGTAATCCAAGTAGCCCTGTAGACTTGACGGCATCGTCGAGATGCTCGGGAAGTGAACAATTTTTGCATCCATTTGCAAATCGTGGACTACATTCGTTTTCATGTCTTCAAAATGGTGCAAATATTGGTGGACAAGCGACGGGTCATCCGGTTTTTCTCTCTGGACATACGGCAACAGGCTCGACGACGCTCGTTACCGTTTGTAGTGCCAGTAATCAATTATCGGAGACAAATGGCCCAAGCGGTGGTAATATTATCACAACAACTGCTAGTTCTGTGCAATCAAATAAAAGGGGACTTGCTTTCTCCGTGGAGAATATCCTCGATCCTAATAAATTCACCGGCGGCCGCGTTATACACGGTCGTTTACAACATCGTCGGCGACGACGTGCCGGCAGCATTCATGAAGGTACGACTAAATTTTTTAAAATGAAAATCAATTTTTAAAAATTGCTACAATTTGTCAATTTCTATTACAGACATTTGTATTAATTTTCCCCTTCATTATTGTTATTCATACGAATGAAATTTGTTTTTTTTTTTAAATTATATTTGTAACCATTAAGATCATGTGATTAATGTTGTGATTTCACATGTAAATATTTTCCACAGGTTTTCTCGCAAATTATTTGATAGATTAAACTAAAAATTTTTTGGACTATTCAAAAACAGTTTAAGGATTCATTGTCATGTGCTAGATTATATTAATATTTTATCAAAAAAATTTAATATTTGTGGAAATTACTAAAATTATTGTCGCCATAATTCTTGCACTAACAGCGATTCCTTATACTATTTTTGAATTCTCCAAAAAAATTTAAGCTCAATCTATAAAGCATTTTACAAAAAAAATCTGAGGAGAATTTTTATACACTGCAAAAAGAAGTATCTTATTTTAAGTTGTTTTGGTAGCGTTTTCAAGACATTAAGACATCTTAAACATTTTAATGTCTTAAAAACGCTACCAAAACATCTTGAAATAAGATACTTCTTTTTGCCGCTGAAATGAAAATATACGGGAAATAAATTTAATTTAAATTAAAAATTGATCGTCTTTCATCTGTTTTTTACGGGAAAAATATATATGTATCAAAAGAAACTTTGATTTCAAAAGATTTAAAGGACATTTTTCTAAATTTCAATTGACCATCCAGTTATTAATTTTAAGCTTATGATTGAAAACAATTTATGGTATTAATAAAAGTGCAAATTAAATTAATAACTTGAAAATAATTGTAACAGTATTTTGAAATCTATTTTTTTTCATGATCGAAAATAGAAATTTTGTTATTCATATACTTTTGATTGCAAGTATATAAAAAAATTTATATTGGAAAAAAGCTTTTCTGCATCCGTATAGAAATAGTTCCAAATTCCAATTAAATTCCGACGGTGCGATTAAAACAAATTTATTGTTTTATACCTATTTTGTCAATTAATGAAACATTGTTTTTGAAATCATTTTTTTTTTAAAACAAAATTAATAATTTTAATTTTTTTATACTGATAATGTATTGAATAAGTTTTTTTGACATGGGTTAAATAATAATTTGATTAAGAAAAAAATAAATAATAATCGGTTGAATTATAACTGGTTAAATATTAATTCTTAATAAATAAATAACATTTAATTAATAACTACCTATTACTTTTGTATTCTATTAAAAGTAAATTTCGAATCACATTTTCAATTACTGTCTATAATTTAAATTTAATTTTACCACGACCCCACACAAAGATTTTATTCGCGACGATAAATTTGATGAGATTCAGTGCAAAAAAAAAAGAAGATTATGAGTTTTCGACAGTAGTCGGTAAATCCTACAAAACTGACGGTTAAAAAAACGATTCTGTATTGCCATGAAAAACACGTATATTTCTGTCATTTCGTTGTAATTTGCTTATTTCCGACGGCTAATTTGCTTCTCATTTTATGATCCACATTCTGGTTTATAAATAAAGCAAACCTTAATAAAAATATTTTCACTCTAAATACATTTATATTTGTTATACAAAATTTATATGAAAATTAGTTATTTTCTGATTCGTTCATATAATTCATGTATATTATTATGCATTATAAACAAAGATAATAATAATTTAATACACAGTATAAATTGAATTATTTTCGATAACTGTTATTATTACTATTATTTAATTTATTATTTTATTTTATTTTTAGTTCACTATTATTGTTATTATTATTCATTGGCAGTTATTATCAATTAAATCATTCCTCTTTTATAAATGATCAATTTTGTCAATAGAAAATAATATTAAATATCAATAACTTTAACAGTCAATTTGATTATTATTCACAATTGTAATAATAACAATAGTTAGTAACGAAATTTAATTTATTTTTATTAAAATACAAAAAATTATTATTATTTTTTAAATTTTCTTGCTGGAAATTTTTTTTGTTTCATCATTTATTTGTTGCGATAGTGTGTTTTAAAAGAAAAAAAAGACTTCCTCATTCTAAAAATAGGGAACACAAAAAATTCACTTCCTCGCAATTTTAAGAGCAGTGTATAGTTATTTGTGTGAAAGAGAGACAGGATATACGGGATAAAGGACGAGTAAAAGTGTTGATGTAGGCGGATCTTTAAGAACGGAAAGACGTAAGTCTTCTCGTTTGATGACAGTGTCGAGTGTTAGATATTTTCGCAACTTCGTAAACTGTGCATCTTTACGACATCCGCAAAATTATTATCTCATTCTTGAAATTATATATGCATTTAAGAGCATTTAAAATTCAGAAACATATTAACACCCGGAATTATTTGATATTCGAAATAATACCCAACACCAATTAAACGAATAAAATATTTATCAATTATTTACGCGAAGAGATATGCGCATAGAAAAAGTTTGCTGCAGGGTTTAAATTATGAATTCTTTTTCTTTATTTTTAACAAGTCACAATTAAATTTTTAGCAAAATATTTTACGAATAAAAAACTAAATAAATTTTTAAAAAAATTTAATTCAACTAAGTGAAAGGTAATTTTATTTAATTCTTTGGAAAGAATTTATTCTATTCGAATTTTTGCACCTGATGAGTGTATCTAAACATTATAATTTTGAATTTTCTTGCAGTGAAGTGATATATTGCTTCCGTTTGCCAACTAGAAAATATCTTGATAAAGTGAATAGCATAACTTCTCGCAAAGTCAAGTGGAGTGAAATTAACATGTTCACTTGGACGATTACTTTGGATGATTGCTTGTCCGTTAGCGGTCGTTCAAACGCTTACGTTATATGTTCCTAAAAACAGCCATCTGGCATTTATATACACTCTGGGCATGCGTTCTCTCGATCCCAAAGAATATCGTGAACACCCCGCAACATCTTCCTAATGACGGGATACACTGTTGACAAGTAAATCTCTAATATGATCACCTCTCACAAAAACCCATGAAATATCACTCTCATTCCACGAACATTAATACCTCTTAATTTCCCTGTGTTCTTCTTCTTTTTTTAAAAAAAAAAAACATCACCCTCCACTGTGAGCATGAAAAAAAATTAAACCAAAAGTCCAAACACTTCAAATTTTTCTGTGAATTTTGGAAGTATTATGCTTTTAGATTAATAACATTTTAGAATCAAAATCTGCATATTGAACATTATTACGTCAAACATAGTGATTTAAGTATTGACTTTTGGTTTAATTTTATTTCAGGCGCACTGTGCCTCTCATTCTAAACTATATAAATTAAAAATAAACATCCAAATTTCTCAATCTGAAATAATAATTTAAATATTTACACTTTTTAAAAATTCTTTTTTCATAATAATGGAAAAAAAATTTCGATAAAAATTGTCAACGCATTGATTGGGGTGACCCGTTGTGAAAATAGAATTAAAGGCACAAAATTCGTAAGGACTTTTGTTGAGAAAGTATATAGCAATATCTCGGGAGCGTTGAGATTAAACGAAAATAAGATTTTGGTCGTCGTAATAAGCGGGATCCGAAAAATACGGATGGCACGAGGAGGCGACTGTCGGAGCGTGACGAATTGCCAAGCTAATCTGCGTTAACCAGTCTTTGAAGCCCATCATTTCACGTCCCTTTATTCCCGTACGGGCCATCCCCCCCGCCAGGCTTTTCGAAACATTCGATAAACCTCTTCCGCCGCGATGCTCTTGTTTTTTAGTGCGCACACAAGGGAGAAATCTCAAATCGCAATTGACCCCTTAGTCCACGCAAATAATTATATTATCAACAAAATAATCGAGAATTGATTTCATCCGAATTTGGGATTACGAGCCATCAATCTTATCCGATGGTCACAGCTTTCCATTAAAAGTGCATCAGAGGAGGAATCTCCGAATTTCTCGTGAAAGAAATCCATTTCGATTGCACGCCAAAAGTTATATACTGATACTCTTTTTTTTTATCATTCTTTTTTTTTTTTTTAATACGCACAAGCCCCGAGAGTGCCAACTTTCAACGCCGCCGCGCGTTACCGAGAATAATATCGCATCGGTTGTTATGATAATCGTACGGCATCGTTTCGTATCGCGCCAAGCCGCCCAGAAAATTGGCTCTTCTGCATTACAATGACTTTCTCTCCTACGTCTCCAACCCCCGCGCGTTCAAGCTTCACACTACATATACTACTATATATATATATATATATATATAAGTGTACGTGGGATTCAGCAACCCTCGAAATCTCGAATGATTCGCTTAGACCAAACAACTTTTGACAAAAAAAATAATAATGATAATAACCTAAATCGTTTAATAATTTCTTCTTTTAATTATAGAAATAAAATTTTGATACGTGTTTTTAATGTTAACAGGGCAACAATACAACGTGTTTTTAAATATCGTTATTTGTTTAAGGAAAGTGAAAATTATTTTTTAAACAAATAACCATATTTAAAAAACAGTGTATGTACTTGTTTAAAAATTCCAAAGTTAAAATAAATAATTATTTTCTTTAGAAAATAAGACATCATTCCTTATTAAAAAACAAAAAAAAATTCACTATACTTCACTTGCAAACCACACCAGTTTTCCATTAGAGGGTAAAAATATCATATTTCCATTCTAGGGTTAATTGACTCAAATATTAATTATTTGATGCAAATAAATATTTATTTGATAATAGTCAAGTAATCGAGTACCTATTTGAATATAATAATTTATTTTTTCAGTGTATAAATTTTCATTAAATTTTAGTAAACTAATACTATTTGATTTTTTTTTTTTTTTTTACAAGTTTTAGCCGAAAATGACTAAAAATTAGTAGAAATTTCCACTAATTTAAATTAGCGGACTAATTCTCAATAATTCAAAATTAGAGAGTACATATAGAACAAATTTTAGTAAACTATAACCCATGTGCGAAATGCCAAGACTAACAATACGGCCCAACATTGGCCCAGTAATGTC